AATGTTTTAATCTTTAAATCAAAATGGAATAATGTAGCTTCTGAACCTCTCCGTCACTAAAATAGTTATTTTGTCCTTTTGTGTCGTCATCTTATTATTACTCCAACTGCGAACTACTCATTTGCCCAATTATACCGTCCATGCCTAGTTGGGGAGTGATCCAAGGAAGCGTAAGTCTTGCGTACTTTAGACGGCGATTTTGGTCTTGGTGCAACGGGTGTAAACAGGGAAAGTTAACCTGGCGTTGCGGTTTACGACAGTCGTAACCAAGCAATTTAACGCCCCGTTGGTGCAACCGGGCCAAGCTTACTAATAGTCGCGGTATCTGTCCTTTTTCTACTCCGCATTTAAAAAGCCACTTTAAGTCCAAGCTTTATGGTTGCCAATACTAACGTTATTATCATTTTAATGGATCAAATTAATACGCATAACACTGTCCCGGTATAACGTTACAGAGAGTCCCCCGTGTAAAAGAGTCCGCTTACCATTCATTTGTACAGGTAGGCCTCGCCCTAGATTTTAACCCATTGAGGTCAGGCTTACCCTAACAATTAATAACCCAATGAAGAGCGGACTTTCTGTTATACGGACCTTCACTTTCGTTTTTTCACTTGGACTAAGTTGAAAGACCCTAGTGATGAACCGCATGTGCACAAAATCCTTCTTACTGCGCACCATATCACACACGGATCACGAGTGAAGATCCTCAATGGGAGCTTTCTATTGGAGTAAAACATTGTCCACGTGACCGAAATATCACCAGAATGCGTGTCGGCAGCAAATCAAGTTCGGTCTAATTTAACATATCACCACAACGTTCACGTGAAAGAAGATTGTCACGTTTTATCACTGGTTGGTTAACATTGTCATTGCGGAAGCGGTGGACCTCGCCTGCCCTGAGTTGCGGGGGTTGTCACTGTAAACTTACCTCTATGAACCATTCCCAGACCCCTACGAACTTTGGAACTATCTATCTCCTAGGGGATTCTCGCTTAATTGCAATCAACTTAAGCGGCTTGTATATAATTTTTATCATTGTTTTTTTTACATTTTATCATTGCAGTTAACTTTATGAAAATAATGCTTTCCTTTTTTGTAAACTCAATTTCAATGCTTGTCAAAGTAAGCTACCTTGTACCCTTGGCCTCTGTACGTGTTACTGAGTCACAGCGTGATATTTGAGTCTTATTCCGTTCTCTCTCTCTCTTTTTTTTTTTTTTTTTTTCTAAACATGTTATTCTTCAACTTCAAAACACCCCATAGCCTTAGAAACAGATAAAATAGCAGCCTTGCTCAAAACGTTAATAAATCTTCCCACAGTGTTAAGTACTAGTTATGCAGGTAACTCAACTTGGTTTGAGGCGCCGATATTAAGAAAAATGTGTCTTGTGTCGTCTGTTTACTATATCATGTTTATTGCTATGATCATGACTATTAAGGGTATGGATAGTCGGTAACTTGTAGAAGATTTGGAAAAAAAGTATATCTTTTTTATATACTAAGTAGAGTGTTTTCGCGCATGAGGCAGGACGTTTGGAGTTGACACCACACGACCGATCATCATAAAGGAGACAAAGAAAATCTGCTTTTTCATAATGTAGAAACCTGTTTTGTATACCTGGAAAATATGGTATTATGTTAATGTGCACGTAAGTCCCACGTAGTTGCCCTCATCTTTTATACAACAGAAGAAGCAAACTAATCATCTAAAGCCCAGAGATCAGAGAAGAAAGGGAAAGAGGCTAGTTAAGATGCTAAATCAATAGTGCCATTGGCGGACCCTCCCCCCCCCCCATCCACTTTAAGAATTCCACTGATATGCCATATCCAAAGCGAAGGAAAGACTGAATCGAATGCTTACAGAAGGATTATCCAATGATAAATTACTTTCGGGAGGAAAATCTTCCCACCGTAATATTCCGGGTCTTGCAACGGATAACAATAAGGGTATGATGTCTAAAAGTTAACAGAGAATGAGCGAGTATATGCATGTCTTTTGATTAAAGATCTATAATTCGAATATCATTGCCAACTCAGCGCTTTTACTGTCATCTCATCATCATATCTTGTAACAACCCATTTTTGAACATATCTTTTTATTTCATCTCCGTAAAATACGAGAAACATATGAATTAACGGAAGAAATAGCAGGAGAAATCACGCGAAACTGAGTGCGATGTAAGGCATGTGTTTTAACATATGCACTGCAATTTGTACTCAATGCGAAAAAAATAAAAAATAAAAAAACGAAGTATAGCGCCAATAACATTATCGAGCTAAACCTTTATCTGATTTAAGTATTATATTTATGATCATGATCATAATTTATTAATTGTCTTAATTAAAATGATTAATTCCTTTCATAATTATCATTTTTACTTTTATTTATATTTACTTTGTGATAGAATTTTTAATACCGACTATTAAACTTTTTTCCGCATAAAGACGTGTCTAGAGAAGCATTCGCTTGTAGAAAGGCCGACCCTACCTGCGGAAACATTTTGCTGAGAGACGTCTCTGTCGGAAGAAGCTCACCCTATAACTTCAAACTGCTGATCGCGTCAATGATAAACAATGCTAAACCATTACTAACAGGTAGATTGTGTTGTTACTGTTCTATCAGAGTGTATAGAACATATAGCGGCAGTATGTCGATATAGCCTCCACGTACCATCATCAGATGGATCGCCAGCTACTGGGCATTGATTTCACAAGATCAAGCAGCTGATGTCAGGCTGCATTTCATCTAATGGGACTTTGACATCTTAACTCTCGTAACCCCATCTTTGTCGTGTTCAGGCGCCGTGGTTAACATTGTGAAGATGTTGTCACGGAGAGCGTATAAAGCTATTAGCGCTTTGCCTCCCTTTCTGTCGAGTAAACTTTGTTTATAAACATTGTAAAAAAGACGATGTTGACAGTAGGTTTCTTTGACATTTCACAAAAAAATTCAACGAATCAGTATCATCATCTTATAAATTTATTTATTTAATTATTTATTTAAAGTTCTTATTTATCAAACTGTACAACTTGCATCTAGAGTATTTAACAGAGTGCGCCCGAAAGGGCTAGCGTAGTTTGGCGTTTAAAAAAGATTTCCAGTGTCATATTTTTTTCACTAGTTTCATCTTTCATTTTGGCATTTCCGCCACCTTTAACATAACAACTCGCCGAAATATTTACGCTCTCGAATCGTGACATGGCTGCCTAACGTACACAAGTATGATATATTTGACAGTGACAAAAAAAAAAAAGCAAAGCATGATAGACATGCAAGTGGACCAGAGAAAGCATAGAATAATGGGACCGTTCTTCGTTTCAGTGATCTTGCCTTAATTTATCAGGTAAAAGTTTGGAAAGATATTGCCCCGGTGAATTTGACAACACTATGACGGTATGCGACAGACAAATATTACAATCACGCACTAACTGTTGACGTTAGTGCAAATTTGTTTTCGAGGGGTAATTCGAATGAATAATTTTTTTTAAAAGTTTGTGAGAAAATGATGCACCTACCATATAACATTGGATGCAGCTTGGTTACTGGTCTACCACTTATCCTCACAAGATAATCAGCAAAACTTGAAAAAATCGCTCTAAAGACAATAAAAAAAAAATAATGCATGCATGCGACAAGCATACTCGAATGCTTTATCAGCATCTTCCTGACATATACTCGTCTTGAATTGTTGTTGACTCTTAAGAATATTTTCATTAAGTTTTTCAACGTTAGAATGAACAACCCAACATTTGGACAGGTAAACAAACAATTAAATGACAGATTTATTTCGCAAAAACAAATTAAAATATCATTATCTGCGGCTTTCATATAATCTTTAAGGTTGTCAGTATTTGTACATCCAGTGTTTACCCGGTTGCTGGCCTATGTAAATATTCAACACGACAACGTCACAAACAATCAGCGCCTTCTTTTTTTTTCTGCAGGTTGTCACTTTACATGCAAACAATAATCACACAAACAGGGACATTTAAACGACCAAAGAGGTCAAAATCTGAACTATAACATGGGCGAATTAAGGCCGTCTTCTGGGTCTTCCGATGTTCAAGTTTACTTTGACTATTATCTAATTTTTTTCTGTCGGTAGACGGTCAAAATGGAGGATGGATCAGCAAAGATAGTTTAGAAGACTGTCAGAAAATATATCTGGATCCCCCCGTATATAATATATTTTTCAACAAAGGTCGGTGTACGATGTCGGTGATGCTTTATCCCGTGAAAAAAATCTATTTTAACCAACCTGAGGACAGGGTCTTTGTTATGACATTGACGCGAGGGTCGCACCATAGTTATGAGAGCCTAACTAATTGACGAGATTGGGGGGTGGGGTCGATAACGAACAATGTCCTATAACAAAATAGTAGTTTCAGGGTGCTACATTATGATCTGGAAGGCGTCGTTTGTTCGAAAAATATATATTTTTTTATTGTAGCGTTCTAGGTCATTTACGGACAGTCTGGGAGCGTACTGCACGAGTGAAACAGTATGGATAATCAGAAGTGTGAAATACGACATACTGAATTGAGGACACATACTGTACCCAACAGATAACCAGAATTATACACGTTTTGCTTTGGAGACCATTCATGTCAAGGCCCTTTAAAGGTATAATCAAATGCAGCTTCGTGTACATGTGGTCGTGGTGCACTTTAAAATTCTTCACCTTTGTTAGTGTCATGGATATTGAAGGCAAAGAGCGGGGGGAGGGGGGGGGAGGGGAGGGGGGTTCTGGTGGCTGAAAGTCTACAGTGTAAAATGAACGTGTCATTTTCGTCGCCCTTGGAGTGTGCTTGGTTTGTTAATTTCCAAGAATCAGACGTATCCGTATCAGACTGTCATCAGTAAATTTACTGAAATATGCGCGTTCTGGGCCACGTGATCATCCACGACGAGGGCCAGAAGCCGTATAATAATATGCGGATGTTAAAAAAAGATATCGTGACGTTGGCATTCATTACTTCAGATTTGTACTCATATTTTTCATAGATGTCTCACTGATGACGGCGACCAGCGAGAGACCGCATAACCAATCCGGATACTTTAAACCCACAGAGTACACCGTGTAGTAGATATGTTATAAATAGAAACGGCTTACGCACTTTTTTGTGTTAATATCTTCTCTTTGTTAAAGAAGAGGGAGCTTTCGTGTCCAGAAAGTACAGCGACGACTTTTCATCTCAGTGGTGTTGGCTTGCAAGGAGCTGGCGTGTTTTCTTTCCCACCTGGATTTGGTCAACGTTTGATCATTTGGATTTCGACATACGATGACCACCGGAGAAGAGAATTCGGACAAAAAGATGACGGTAAGGCTCTTACAAAGCTGACTTTTTTACAATCTGTATATTTACCGTGCAACCAATCTTTATTGCTACTAGCACATTTTTACGAACTCTATGACCTAACAATCATATAATACAACAATTACACATGCTATATACTGTAGATACGAGTACATGCACATTAACATACATTATATCAGCAAGTAGTGCATGTGCATATTAAGATTTGGGCACTACAAGAAACTACGCAACATATAATTTTGAAAATATGATATTATATAAATTATAGCATTAAGTCAAGAGTTGCATGTAGCATGCGTGATACAGTAGCTCTATTGTTCACTAAAAGCGATAAAACATGCAAATAGGTCTGATTTTGTAGAATGTAATGAACGTTTTTTTAGATTCCATGTATTACTACATCTATACGTATAGTCTTAATGGTGTAGAGTTCATCGCGAAATTTATATGCATTGCCACGATAGGTTGTTTAGGACGCAGGGTTGCAGGGTTAGGATCAGTGTTCACAGTAAGCCGTCCTAGTAACCCCTCCCTGCCGGCTTCCCGCCCCCCCCCGCTTCCCCTCCCTCTCTATCTCTCTATCCCTGTTTATTTCCCTGTCCAAATTCAAAGAACAAGAACCTCCCGCCTCCCCCGCTTTTCCCCCCTCCCTCTCTCTATCCCTATTTATTTCCCTGTCCAAGTTCAAAGAACAAGAACCTACCGCCTCCTTCGCTTTTCCTCCCTCCCTCTCTCTATCCCTATTTATTTCCCTGTCCAAGTTCAAGGAACAAGTGCGCCATTCGAAAGCTACACCTGAGGATTGGCGCACACTTTCACCCACCCCGAGAATCATATATGTGACGCTGTCATTTTAACAGGATTTCATTTATACCTGTACCTGTCGTCTTAATATTGTGGCACAATGACATGCAGGGTTCCTGTGCCCTTTACGGAAACATTCCTATCATGACGCATTCATAAATGAAGACTGGTGCCAATCGCAGTATAGACATGTTACGTGTATAAATTTACATGTGCCGCCGGCGGGTGATTTCGCATGTCATGTAATGTCGGAACTGAATTTGTATTTTAATATTCTTTCCTAGAGGACTTCTCGTTAGTCTGACTAATGCTAAAATTACGACAAGGCACCGCAATGAACGTCCGGCTACTCTAGAGCCAAATCCGCGCGTATTTTAACAGGTGCTTCAAACCATTTAATGTAATGACACGGGGTTCATCTCATATGGTGCTAGTTGGCATTTCGCTTTGACAAAGATGCGGTGATAACGGTGCGTAAAACACTTAAATATACGACATCAAATGAACTCTGGATATGAAGGTTCATTAGGAATTCCGCTCAAATAAAAAAATTGCTGTTTCTCGACTTATTATTCCCAAAAGAAAGTGAATGAAAAGTCATATAAAAAGCCGTTTATTATTATAATTTAGTTAATTCTCCTATATAATATATTTTGGAAAATTCTTTGCATCATTATGCGGTTGGTTAACCACAGGCAAAAAAAAAAGAGAGACACATTGCCTCATGAACGTGATCAGAAGCTAAGGTAAGAAAAAGGCTACCATTTCTTAAACATCGTAAATAAACTGTTTACGCTTCTTTACTTTTAAAAGCAAGTTCTAGATTGTACGACGATACAAATTAAGCTATGTTCTCAATGCTTTTTTTTTAGTTTGGTCAACTTAACATATAAAAGAAACAGGTGTATGGCGACACCAACAAATCCTGCAGTCAGATTTCCATTTTATAAATCTCTCGTAGACCAAGTTCCCCTGTTTAATGCTTCAAAGAGCAAGCGAATAAAGAACGCATCGTAACAGCATGAGAAGATATGGAAAAAGTGCAAAATATCTGTTTTTTTTATTTAACTCTCATGCATGGCACGTTTCCCGTGGAGATGCTACTAAGTTAGGAAGAGGCGTTAGGAGTCCTGACGTATATGCAGTAAAAGAAATCACACAAATTATCTTTATCTCTGTCTGTCTGTCTGTTTGTCTGTCTCTCTGTCCGTCTGTCTGTCCGTCTGTCTGTTGGTATTTCTGCTGTTCTGCCTGTCACCAATGACGCTGCATTTCATGCCCCCCCCCCCATTCTACCATTTTTTTCTATTAATGATTTGAATGGAGTTAAATGAGTTTAGCCTGCTAGTTGTAATAAGGAGTGACTGAGTTAGCCCTTCATTAATTTCTGGTTTCGTCTATTCATTTTGTATTTATTTCCTGAAAAGGTCGCATTTGTCGCCATCCAGCGGTGACACAAATTAGGGAAAAACTTAATAATGAAATAGGGAAAGAAAACGATGAAGTTTCATGCAGAGAAAGTTATAAAAAAATGACAATGTACTTTCCCCTCTAGGGTACAGGCCGGGGAGGGGGTTCCGGGGGTTCGAACTTTGCTGGGAAAAGGTCCACTTATGAGTCAAATTTTGTCTAGATACACAAAAGTAAAAGGTACACTTTTTCAAAAAAAAAAAAAAAAAATTGCTGGCTACGGGCCTGAGGTTACATATTGTTCTGGGAAGGAATAAATGTGAGGTCGGAGCGGTGATAATGATAAGCACGTACAAAGACCATGAATTCTTTACTTTATGTTTTAGGAGAATGGAGAGGGCGGTTATGCCAATCCTGCTTTTGATGAAAACCAGGTAAAGTACCACATAATTTTATCAAATGGAGACACTGAATAGGCATAAAACACAATGATATATTCAGCTGATAAGAAACGTGTTTCACTACAAAGTATACTGACTATGAATTGAAAAAAATACTTTAAATAAACCTATAAAAATATAGCTTCTAAATCCCAAGTCGCGACAGTCTGACGGTCGGGCAGAGAGACAGTGAAACAATCGGACAGAACAAACAGACAGACAGACAGACAGGCTGACGATTGACCGCAGGACTAACGAACAAATGAACGCATTTGTATGACATAACAAATGCCGCAAAGGGCTCTATATTAAATAACATTTGAACAACTGTCACGTCGAGTTATATATGCTATTCCAAAATAATTTTATTTTATGTTTTTGCAGAGGGAAGATGTCGTAGGCGACAGGGTTGAAAAGGAAGAAGACCCCTGGGAGCTTCCCGAGTTAAAGGAGACGGGAACCCCTTGGTCTGGTGAGTGCAGCGTGATGGCAGGGAATACAGACACAAGGATGTAGATTATTTTTTGTTCCACGTACATGACGATGAATTTTGACGCTCACCGATGGGTCAAAAGCGGTAACCTTCGGCGTCGGCCAATTATCCCAGCTTTGGGTCGAACCTCACCCAAAGTCAATAACGGTATATTGGGGTTGGGTTAATCTACACTGGTGACGTAACCGCAGGCGCGTAGCCAGGGGGGTGGGGGAGGGGGTTTCGGCGTCGGTCAGTTATCCCAGTTTCGGATCGAATATCATCGTTAATTGTATATTGCGTTAGATTAATTTCCACTGGTGTCGTAACAGGGTGTTACGTGTACCGCTGTGGTTTGAAGATTTGGTTAATTTTACCTAACTTGATAATATCTTTCAGAAATGAAAGGGTTAAGTTATGTAGGCTACAATGATGGTTAGCCAGAAAACCACAAAAATTTGTGAAAAGTGAAATACATCTCTTTTTTAAGGATACATGTAGGCCTTGCCTGCTATTTGGCAATATACGTAAATGTCATGTAAATGTATTACTTTAAATGTCTTTGTTTAGCGTCTGTTTACGAGCCATCCTTTATGTCTGAAAATCCTATTCGTCACGCTTACTGAAAGTTATTTTCAACTCTTATAATTTGCTTAACTCAATTAACTTTATTTTTCAAGAGCTGACGTGCGGTGGCAAAATCACACGTGTGCTTGTTGTGACCCTGAAGTTGTGTCTTCTACTTTTCCTCTTGTACGTCTTCATCTGTTCACTTGACTTCTTGAGTTCAGCGTTCCGCTTGCTGGGAGGTAAGTTATAAAAACGTACAGCTCTTTATTGCCAATCATAACCATGGGAGGTGATTTACATTCAGTTTAAACAGTATAAAATAAGACAGTTAATGAAGAATGTTTCTAAACAAATAGTCATTATTCCAACATGGTCAATGAAAACTGTTATTTGTAAACTTAGAAGATACCTAAAACTTCATCGTTTTTCCTATTTTTTCTACGCATTTTCAGATGTCTAAACACCTACTCCTGATGGAAATTGCATAACATGTTCTACTTCAAAATTCACTTTCTTTCAAACCGAATACTGCATGTGCACTCCTTTTCCCCCTTCAGCCCCCACACCTTAAATATAAAGGGAACAGTATGACTAGATTCGTGACAACATCACGTTATTTTCTATTCCCATGACTTGCATGTTATACAGTTAGTAAAATGTCTTTAGCTACTTTAATAGTATTAATCATTTTTATCCATTTCTATATAATTGTATATTTTTATCTTCGTGTCTTCGTACCCCAACCCCACCCCCACTTAAAAAACCCTAGATCTGCCCCTATAACACCGATTTTAATATTAATTGTTTTGTGTTTTTATCTCTGGCACCAGGCAAGGCCGCGGGAGAAGCTTTCTCCCAGAATGAGATACTTGCCAACCCTGTGGCGGGCCTGATGATAGGCCTGCTGGCCACCGTCCTGGTCCAGAGCTCCTCGACCTCTACATCCATCATCGTGTCCATGGTGGGCTCAGGAAGTGAGTATCAGATGTCAGGATTGGGTTGTTACCTCTGCCGTATAAAAATTGTTTTCGTGGTTATCAGTGTTGGTTTGTCTGTCACGTAGTGGATGTATAAGATATCTTGAAAACTTAATAAATTTTGACCAAAATATTTAAGATTATAGACACAGTTATTTGGAAATTTGGAAGAAAAATATACAGTCAATATTTTCTGTTAAATCCGGGTCTCTTGATATTCTATAACAATTCTCCTTTCTGTTATCCCGTTCGACAGTTGTTTTTTTTTCCTTGGTTGAGGTCCACGTTCTTGGAGTGCTCTCTTGATTTAAAAAGACGAGTTTTATTTATGCAACAAGCATAAAGTGAATTGGCCCAGTAATGACCAAAGACAATGCACAGTTGTGTTGAGTCAAGGCAGGGGCATGTGTAACGCCATGGGACCTGTTTCACTTAAAGTCTAATGAGTTTTTGGGGGTAAAATCTTTGCTTAGTAGTTTGCATTTTACTAAGAATAACAAAATGTTTTGTGAAATTTACTAAGGTAAGATTCGAGATAACAATTATCGCGTAAGGTTAAACACATTTTTGTTTATTTTTAACACGTGTCTTTTAATTTTGTAGTTCTTGGTGTAAAACAGGCGATTCCAATAATAATGGGGGCCAACATCGGCACGTCCGTCACCAACACCCTGGTGGCAATGACCCAGGCAGGGGACAAGAGCGAGTTCAGAAGAGCTTTCGCTGGAGCCACAGTCCATGACATGTTCAACTGGTTGACCGTGATCATTTTGTTACCGATAGAGGCCATATTTCGTAAGTAAGGCCAAGCGAATGCATCCCATCGTGGCCATTTTGCTACCGCGCTGTGATGTAACAGTGACGTATTAGCTACGACATGGACACGTGACTCCACGTGGAGTTTTTACTTTGTCATTAGGTGAAGACAGTCCATGTACATTAACCAATAGTATACATATTAAACGAGAATAAGGTGGGTTGTTGTCAGTTTTCGGAGGTCTGCAAAACAACATGTTGACCTCGGCTTAGGTCTTAATTTGACCATATCAGTTTAAATGCCTGTCTTCCTCTGTATTTCAGATCCTCTGTATTACATGACCCTTGCCATTATCAACTCTCTTGGACTTAAGACGAACAAAAACGCCAACCCCGAGCTGCTGAAGGCGCTTACAAAACCTTTTGTTAAACTTATCATTCAGGTGAGCACCACCACCATCCTCCAACACTAACATCTATAGCTGGTGATAACACCGCGGGTTATTTTTTTATAAAGGACTGGAAACTTTATATACTTTGTTCATCGTCACAGTTGTTACGATGCTTACTAATAAAACGTATACCGAGTAATTAAATGCACTGCGCACTCCTCACTCAGCAAACGACTGCGTATCTTCATTTGATTTTCAGGTTGACAAGAAAACCATAACAGCCATTGCCAAAGGTTCTGACACCGACGGCCTTAGAATCATGAAAATGTCCTGTAAAACCGGAAATAAAATTCCCAAGGGTTATCGTACCTTCGCGGACAATGTCGCCACGCAGGCAAACTTGACCTCGGCGCCCTCTAATATTACTGATGCATCCAGCAATGCCACTTCTACTATTACATCAGTGACAGCGCCGTTAGTTGCAGGCGGTAATTCTTCTCACGGTTGGAACGAGACTCACATATGGGGGCTGGGAGACGAGAAAGAAAAATGTGAGTCTATGTGAATTCGTAATGAAAAAAGAAAAATGCCTCAAGCTTGCATTAATTGAAAGAGAACCTTTGGACGCTTCTTTTGAATACCAATTTTTATCGCATTTGTAAACATTAACTGAGCAAACGTTTACTGACGTTTACATTTTATATATGTGTATATAAAATATAATTATTATATTATATACAACGCTTTTAAAATGTCTTATTAAGATATATTAATTACTGTTAGTTTTCAACTAGTGGTTCATCGTTACAACGTGTATAGGCCTTTTGTAGCTAGATGACTAGAATTTCATGAAGCTTATTATAAACTCATTCAAAATTGAAAAATTAATATTTCGATAATTTTTTCAAAAAATTCAAATTAAATATTGAAATGTTCAGAAGTATTCGGAAGTAAGTAAATGGTGATTATTGTCATTTTAGGTACATATATATTCCGCGGACTGGCTGACGTCTGGTATGATGAAGCCATCGGGGCCCTGCTGCTGGTTATAGCTCTGGTGATACTCTGCGTCGTTCTAGTATGCATAGTCAAACTTCTACACTCCATGCTTCAAGGAAGAATAGCCATTCTCATCAGGAAAGTCATCAACGCCGATTTTCCCGGCAAATTGGCCTGCCTGACGGGGTACGTCGCAATTATCTTTGGGTGTCTGATGACAATCCTGGTTCAGAGTTCGTCTATATTCACGTCTGCCCTGACTCCACTGGTTGGGGTGGGTGTAGTGAAAATCGAAAGGATGTACCCAATGACCCTTGGCTCCAATATTGGTACCACAGTCACCGCCATATTAGCGTCGCTTACACAAGGGAAAGAAGACCTGCCCAATGCTCTTCAGGTCGCATTTTGTCACTTATTTTTCAACATCTTTGGGATTTTAATTTGGTTTCCTGTGCCAATGATGAGAAAAGCACCGATTTCTTTGGCAAAGTTCTTGGGGAACACCACAGCAAACTACCGATGGTTTGCGGTCATTTATATAATTCTGATGTTTTTCATATTCCCTGGAATTGTGTTCGCGCTGTCAATCCCAGGATGGTATGTGATGGTTGGAGTGTTGGGTCCAATCGTCCTCATCCTCATCGTCGTCTTGATCATTAACGTCCTGCGAAAGCGGAAGCCGGAATGGCTGCCGGGAAGGCTCCGCACGTGGCAGTGGTTGCCCCTCCCACTTCGTTCTCTGGCGCCATACGATAGGCTGATTGTTAGAGCGTGCTGTTGCTGCAAGTGCTGCGATCGGTGCAAAAATAAGGACGACGTGGAAAGCGCTGATCCTGGTAACATCGACGATGGAGGCGAATACAGGAACAAAGACAGTTTTAATGTCACTGCATCACAGGACCATCTTGTTGAAACCACAAAATTTTAAAGATTAAGATTTTCAAAAAACTTTTCCAGAGGATAAGACCAATTAATGAAAATCTGAAGTTGATTTGCTTTGATATTGGTTGGCAATAGTTTTCGGGAAAAAATACCGATTTTCAGATGCAATTTTTAAATTACAGAAAGGAAAAGGAAATAAGTGAAATATATTTCTATATTTCTAATTATTTCACATAAATACAACACACACACAAAAAAATACCAAATGGGTAAAAAGTGTGACTAAACATCACAGGCCTTTAGTGTTTTAATGTGAACTCACTTATTGTCCCGCGCAAAATAAATCCGGATTCTTTTCTGGCTAGGCAAATCCATGAAGCACAGTTAAATTGTGCAGGTGAATAGGTCGTATTCTACACTCCAGTTGCTCATATCACGCAGAATATAGGTGCAGATTACTATGGTGTATATAATGGTCGTGAATGTAAATAGTGTACGGCTTTTTTTAAAGAATTTCTATTTTTATAATCATTTTCAGACTGCAGTGCAAAACAAGTTCATGGGTAAATTTACTGTTTAGAACTAGACGAATTATTATCCAGAAACGTGTTATAGCTTCCAATTTTCTTAAAATAACTTTTTATCTCTCAGGTATGTTATGTATGACGTGTGTTGCAAACATGCATTTTAATTGCACTAAGAAAGGAATGCAGAGAAATGGTGTAGTGAAACAGTTCATATGGTGTTATGGGCGTTTGCGTACCGGTTGAGCAATGGCCGATCACGTAGTGCTAAATTATTGTGATATTTTGAAAATTCCTTGAGGCTTTTTAGTACGTATCATATCCAAACAATGTCCTCGAAACCTGTTTATATATGTTTTGTGTGTACATATTTGCATATATATTGGATGTATATAAAAAATTTAAATAGTCAAATAATTTTAAATAATAAAAATTATTTTATAATAATATAAGAAAAATAAATAAAAAGAGTTAGGGTAATTGGTAACTTTGGTTACTTTGTTTAATTTCTTATGGATTTGACTGTTTTAATAAGATATCTCTACAATATACCGCCTTTTAATTACGCCAGCTGAGTTAATGTCACTTTTCAGCTATTCATTATACGAGATGTGCCAGGCATTTCTCAAAATAAAAAATCTAAACGCAAAAAAATTATAATATTCAATCAATATCAGCCCAAAGAGGTATTGTAGTAAAAGTGAGACAGTTATATTTTTCTCAAGCACGTTTAGCTAGCACGTCGACAAGCTCATTTTCTTTATAAAAAAGTTCACCTTTTGTGAACTTCGGCAATCAAATATGCATTGATCGATCACTCTAACAGTTTACAGCAGTAAATAAAGAAATCACCTTTTTCGCCAGAAATAATGAATAACAAACCTCTACATGTTTGTCACTGAATACGCTTAATTGTTTGAGAATACCTATTCTGTAGCCTTGGGTACAACGGCTGTACCCCTGTATATAGATATATTGCCCTTGAAATGGTTTGATGGCTATTGCGCATGCGTAAACAATGTCAACTCTCCTTTCTGTTCTGATAGATTGGGTGTCATATAAATTAACCAGATATATACAGTATTATTGAGTAGTATGTAAAATATGCTATTATTTCGGTAATGTAGTAAGGTAAATTTAAAAATAGTCCGGTACTAGTTTTATACCTAGATAGCGTCCATTCAGAACCAAAGACTAGTCTCTGGCACAGCGAATCATGCACTTTACGGCTTTTCCGCTCTTTGCCATTTCAAAGGCGTCCAGCGTTTGGCCCAGCGTAAACCGGTGTGTGATTAACGGTTTGATGTTAACTTGTCCCGTGGCCACGAGCTTTAGGGCAAGCTGGTAGCTAGAAGACAGACATTTTGTAATGAGTTTCAAAGTCATGAAAAACACGAGAAATTTGAAAATGCAACATTGTACTGCACTTCTACCATTACTCCGCCTCTCACACGCCTCCCCATGCATTGTCCCTTCAGGGGCACTGTTATTAAATCTCGGGAGCCGTGTGAGAGGCGGAGAGACCATTACAAGATTAAGCGGTCTTCCTTTCATGTAGGTCCGCCATATTAAGGTCGTGGTCTAGCTTGCACTCGGCTCTTCTCATTCTGAATGACCCCACATGTGATTCCGTATATATAAATAAATAAACATACACTGTAGCTTCACATCAAACTGAAAATGACTGTAAATGGTCGACACAAATTATCAAATAGAAAAAATTAACTCTATTTGTATAAATGATTAATTTGACCTCAACTAATTACAATTTCCTCATTTACTCTTGTGCACGTACTCGTTGCAATACCGGAAACATCCGCGGATATCTATCTCCTTGGCAACGGCAAGGACCAATGGGATTCCCACAGACGACAACCCGTGACCAATGGCAGCCACTACCCCTCCTGGTCTTGTGGCCTGCGTTAAGCATATAAATAAACGCAATCACTTAGCATAACATGTGGACTATAAATTAGAAACGGTGAGAATTTTAACTACGACTTGATTTTTCTCTGTGAAAAATGTTTTAAAAATAGACTTGAATTGCAAATGTACCTAATTGAGTGCAAGAGGGTTATCAACCCAAAATCAGTCTATGCAAAAAAGTAATAAACAAATAAATTAATACATGAGTTATAGAAAAAATAAATAAACGAAATTTAATAAAATAAAATAAAATAAAATTAATAAACGAAATTCAATAAAATAAAATAAAAAAAATAAAATTAAATAAATAGAATAAAATAGAGATCAAATAAAATGATAAAGAGAGAGTGAGGTGTTCTTCTCTGGGAAACAAACACTTGGACGATGTGTCGAGTATCTGAGCGAAAGATCATATATATTTCAGAGAGACAGAGAGGGAGAGAGACTCAGAGAGAGGGAAGAACAGAGGACAGATGAGGAGTAAAGAAGACATACAATTATGCCTAGCTGCAGCCCTGATTCCGCTCCGCTGCATTCTACGGTCACAGAGGGCATGCAGCCTAAGCGTTCCTTCACTTTAACTGCAAGGTCTTCCACTCGGTCTGCCTGCTCAATTAGAAGAGTATGCGTCGCACCCATCGCCATAGCAAACTCCAGGCGTGCCGAAGAAATGTCTAAAATATATGGATATATTATGGGGACATTTAAATGTAGGGAACATCTAGAGCATGGAAAGCAGTACACGTGCTCTGGGGAGGGGCTGATTAAATGGTAAGTCTATGTTAAAAATGTTATGGCTAGAGCAGTGAACTATATCACTGCTTGCTATATAATGGAGTCATTTTCCTTTTTCTGTGCATTTTCCTCGATTATTGAATCTATCTATACTTTTTGGATAGATCTTTTGTCTTATCGTAGATTATTAAGATGCAATGGTGGGTAAAATGTCCTTTGTAACCGCCTCGGTCCAGTAAAAACACGAGAGCTACCTACCGGTCACACAGACATCAGAGGCTCCCATTGCCTTAGCTGAGACCAGGGACATTAGGCCTATCGGTCCTGAAATAAATGTCAAACGTGGTCAGTTAGCAATCTTTACTCTAGTTGAAAACAGCTGCACTATGCGCGTTAAACCTTTTTATACACTGTAAATGATAATTTAAAAATGATAATTTTCCAGGAAACAATGTAGGCTATGTTCATTACTTAAGCACTTTCTATCGGAAACTTGTGAGAAAACTACGATTTATAAATACAGTATGATATGATATTCAACAATATCCTTCTCCACTGTTAAATCGAAATTAAAACCAAAAACTTGTTAACAAAAAGAATCTCTCTCTCTCTCTCTCTCTCTCTCTCTCTCTCACCAGCTCCACTGATCAGTACGCTAGACCCCGGCTGTATTCCAGCGCGCCTACAGGCGTGTAAACCGACAGAGAACGGCTCCAGCAGCGCCCCCTCTTCTTGACTTACGTGGTCTGGGAGCCTGAAACGAACAATCAATATAAAATACATAATGGGGAATTACTGCTGGAGTGACAGGTATGGTAGTCGGCTAAGAACCGTAACCCGTTTCCCTCCGTCCCTAAAACACCGTTACCTCTGTAAAACCCTAACCTGCCCTAGAAGCTGCTAATATGACATTTATCAACGTGTTTTTTTTTCTCGTGAGTATATTTCCCTTTATTTCACTCAGACCCCCCCCAAACACACACCATCCCCTCACAAGACGTCCAACTCACTTGTAGCAGAAGTCCGCGGCGTGGCAGTAGTATCGCCTGAGACTCCCGTGGCCCGGGGGTGTCGCGCAGAAGTCCACGTCAGGACACAGGTTATACAGACCCTCCTTGCACAGGTCACACACCCTGCAAGGCACACCCGGCTCCACCGCCACGCGGTCACCTGACGAAAGAGGGAGACACTATCGATTGCTACCGATCGACTTAGCTTTGACCATTTTATATTTTTGTCTTGTTATAGACAGCTGACACTTAGTGAGGTATATGATGGAAGATTCTAACGGTTGAAAACGGACCAGTGAGAAGATTTCATCGTATTTAGCCACATATCCCACCAAATGATTATTTATGTTAGTAAGGCAGTTTTGCTAATCAAAATCAAAATTAACAACACGAGGAACTGAATAAATGCAATTTGAACTAATGAACCAGATAAAATAGAATTTGAAAAAGATAAATAAAAACATTTAAAGATTACAGTAAAAATCACCCTGAACTTCAATGAATAGAGACCCATAACATGTGACTTTATCAGAGGAATATGAAAGACAAAGATTCATGCACACACGTTAATATTGGACTCAGATGGCTCGTTACTGGTGACGAGGCATTGTCTTACCAACTTTCAGGTTGGTTACACCCTCCCCTAACGCTGACACCGTCCCGCTTGTCTCGTGTCCGAGGATCATGGGTTTCTTGACCACGAAGTGACCGATAGCGCCATCTTTCCAGTATTTGACATCAGAGCCACAGATGCCTACAGAGTGGATGGCAAGCTGCACCTCTGTAAAGAGATGTACTGATATACAGACAGACAGACAGACGGACAAACAGACAGACAGACCAGCTTTAAAATCGCTGGGTTCTCGTGGAACATCACTAATGAATGTATAGATGCCTAAAGGCCGTCAGACTTTTTTGTTAAAGATCAGTACCTGAGAGCTCCTTTTCAAAATAGATATACAGCCCTATGCTGAAAAACACGAAAATGTCAATTTCTTTGATTAATGTATGTTGCACATGTCAAGCATGAATGACGAATCCGGCACATTCATTGCGTAGGCCTACGATTTGCGTCAGCACTACGCAACACTATTTTTCTAATAGCTACGTATACAGTGCGCATGTCAAGAGTATTCCGGACGAAATCAGAGTATTCTTATCGCATGGCTGACTCACCTCTGAAAAATACCAAGCGTATTAATAACGAATACGCTTAACTCTGTGGATTTGCCATGTACACGTGCAAAATATTACCTGGTTAAATGCATTATTATACATAGGCCCTATATAGTTCATGTTAACGTATGCTGGAAAAATACTCAAAAGTGAGTATGCTACTTACCGCCTTTTTTAGGTTGGGGAATATCTGTTTCTTCCTGAAATGGAAAAAGAAATAAGCATGAGAAATCTTGGCCAGGTTTAACACACACACACACACAAAGAGAGAGAGAGAGAGAGAGAGAGAGAGAGAGAGAGAGGGAGGGAGAGTTAATCAAATGCATTAATTACCAGTCGCAGATCCCCCTTCGTACGGAGCACGGCAGTTAGGTTGGTATCGGTCATCTTCCTCACAACGCCACGATTGAAAATCTGTGACCTACTAATAGTTACAAGCCGTACGTGTGGAATGCCTCAAGGGTCAAAATGATCCGAATTTATCAATTTAGGCCAGCAGATGTAAGCAAAGTAAGAGATAGAGGCTCATTATGCAATAGATTCAGTGCGGGACGCTGGGAAATGCTGACGGTGGGGCTAGTCATGTTCATCACTTAGAATTAACAGAACCAGATATACATGTACTTCTCTTAGTTTCATTTCATACCTTTGCCATGGTACGACATTTGTTTTTGACATCGTATGTAGCTACGGGCTACGGCGAGTACATGTACGTCTACATTTCGTCGGGGTGCCGTGTCATTTCTACGACATGATATTGAGGCCACTAAACAAAGGGAAAATTGGTTGTCTGTTGAAATGTGGTCGTACGTTGAACTTTTACATGGCAAAAAAATAATAAAAATAAAAATAAATAAAATATATATTTAAAAATAAATAAATAAATAAATAAATAAATAGCTTTTATCAAAATATGCACTTCAGGGGCGGATTGAGGCCGTCTTCTGGGTCTTCCGGAAAACAGGCAGGTTTTTAAGTTTACATTGACGGGTATATAATTTTTTTCTGTCGGAAGACGGTCAAAAATGGAGGATGGACTAATAAAGATAATTTGGAAGACTGTCAGAAAATATCTCTGGATCCGCCCCTGCTTTAATCCAAGTATGCCATAGCCAAAACTGTCACAGAAGTGCGATCATCAGTAAACCAGTTTTTAGTACTCAGTTTCTAGTTTTTAAGTCTTTGATTCATCTCTCTCTCAACGAAGATCGATAGAGACTGATAAATTTCACACGTGTCGAGACAAAAGTAGAAATTTAAAACTCTAAAAATTTAAACAACCGGGGTAATCTTTGGATCGTTATTCTGGCAAAAGGATTTTGACATAGTATACCTCCGTAATACTGGATTGAATTAGCTGTATTTTTTCTCTTTTTTGTTCTTTGTTTGCTTTTTATTCACAACGCTTCTTGAAGAAAATCCGCCCGCACTAGTCAGCTTAATAAAATCACGTGGAATCTTGCCCGTCAGCTAATAAACGCAGCAGTAGGTTTTACTTGTACTCAATGATTAATAAGTAAAAAGTCAGTTGTTGGTATTTTCAGGTCGTGTATAGATTATTTCAGCGGGAAGCTAACGCGCATCCGCCGCATTAGGGAAGCGCGGGTAACGCTCTGTTTTAGATAAATGGGCCAAATAGTCTAATTTCGAAGACAGGATGTGAATATTTGTTTTGACGTCATCTACATATGAACGTTTCGGGGGCCGAAAGTTCATTTATTGACCACGAGATCCGCTCGACAAAAGAAATTACTTCACGAATTCAATGTATCACACACTAGCGTAGCATTGAGTAAGATCTGAAAGTTACTCTACATTATTAGTCTTTTAAAGCGGGGACTAGAGGATTTAAAATAATAATAATAATAATAATAATAATAATAATAACAATAATAATAAATAAATAAATAAATAAATAAATAACATACTTTTCCTCTTCTGGGCCTGAAAAGGTCCGCCTTGATTCAACATTTAATACATAGGTTTACGTTCAATTCTTTTTTAAGGAAAAACGCTTTCAAATTGCTGGTAACCGGTACACGCTTACAGTCTGCGACTTTTCATTGATGCATGTGTAATGTGTTATTGGCCTCCAGCCGGTTACATACAAGTATTACGTGAACAAGAATTAAACAAAATATTGATTAAATCGTTCTATATGACATAACTGCTGTGCACTGGATAACAAAAGCTGTTTACCCTGGATACAGCTCCGGTGATATTGTTTTGTTGAAATGGGATTGCTTGTTATTTGCTAAGTGGGGTTGCCTGTAGGATTTTACTTATGGCATGGTACTCGTGCAGGTATACCAGTCTACGGGATGTTTCATAGCAAGCATGTAGGGACAGAGGCGAGCACAGTCATCACCAGGGTACAAAAAGGCCTCAGGATAAATGCTGCAACTATCTTGGGGCGGCATGGTCACAAGAAATTATTTTGATGGCATACATGTATCAGACGAAAAAAGATAAAATAAAACAATAAAAGTTAATGTTAAAGATAAGAAAAGATATAGATGGATAACAGATAAATGGTGAATCAATAGAAAACAAACAGAAATTAAAAAAAAAAACTTTCAGATCGACATACCTCTCCTTTAGCCAGGGTCTTGACCATGGGTTTTATTATTGAACTCAGTAAATAGTCCATTCAATTTTATTGATTTATGGAAAGATATCCTAAAATATCATTTGAACACATATATTGATCACAGAATGAGGGTTGGGATGACACGTAACGTGCGTATTGTGCTATTATTGACTCCATGTGGGTATTCATTTTATATAGATATCTAGATCGATCTTTATGGATGATCAATGACTTTGGGAATATTTAGAATGAATGTTTTGGTCATCCCCAAAATAGATGACACTGCATCAAATATGTATTAAAAACACACAAATCAACTTAAAGAATTCAAACTCACCATACACGTTATACTAATGCGAACATGAATATTTAGATATTGATTAACAAAGTGTATTGTTTGATATTTAACAACAACGGACGCTGTTATCACGTTAACGATCTTTGAAGTAGTGTAACATTCGCTATGAATATCGATTCAATCGATATTTTTAATTGGTGATGTAAGAAATAATTACTCAACATATCGAAAATTTCATAATGACCAAAATGCTGCTGTCAGATTTAACGGCACGTCCAATGAGAATTTTCTATCAGCTATCCTTTCTAGCCTGATCAGTTGCCTCGCGCGTAACGAGGTCCATTCAGCCAAAAGAAAGTGTGTAGGTGACGCAGAACCCGTGCAGTTCCAGGTCGCCGAACGAAATGAAGATGGGTTACGGATTACTCGTAACTGTCACCAGTCTCCTCCTGTCATCGCTGGCGTTTGCCACAGCTACCGAGACCGTCGACATTTGTTCGTCGAACACCGCGAGCGGGGACACTTACGACGTTTCATTCGTGTCCGCAGACTATGGGGTGTCGTTTGCGGTGGACGCGGTGGAAAGCCGCAGCAATCTCGAATGCATTCTGACGTGCACCAGGCACTCTCTGTGTAGATCGTCATATTACGATAAAGTGAACAAGACCTGTTATTTAGTTGATGGGTCGCAATTGACCACTGGCTACAAGACTGCCTCCGAGGAGGCTGCTGGATATGTGACCAATATTATGCAGACGGTGGTAAGTGTTAAATCCTCGCTAAACGGTTGTTAACAGTTCCCCGTGTTGCATTCTTGATTGTAACTTGATTTTTATCTCATCCTGATCATTTTATGAGAGAGAGAGAGAGAGAGAGAGAGAGAGAGAGAGAGAGAGAGACTTAAAATAATAATGATAATGGCATTTATTTTGAAGATAAAAATTGGATTGTCAATATTCAAAAGAGATACAAATCATTCTAAAATACCTGTACCAAGGTACATTTGGAATTGGTACAAGTGGTACGGATATTTTGCTATCCCTTAATGAATTTTTATTTCCGCACCTATTTTTTATCCTTCTTCCTTGATTAAATATTGTGATGAGTTTAAAATCTTAATACACGTTCCGATGTCGGGTATTCCACTTTTTAATATATTCATATTTTCCCCGATTCCATTGAAAACTAAATGGCATGATTTACATCGTCGCTTCACTTAAAGTTTAAACAGCATCAAACAATGGTTTTGGTGCTTTTATAATATGGTAATTTATGTGTGTTTTACGTTAGGATATATGTGGGTCCCAGGGACATAAGATCGTCTACCCGAGGTACCAAAATGTACATCTCACAAGTTTTGTGGTTTTTGGCAGATATTTCGTAATATTTTCCGTTGCGATTCTAAATCTATATCTTTATGTTTTAATTCGTTACACTCAAACGAACATAAAATATTTATAGTATAAACACAGAAACAGTGTTAGGTATGGAAGCGCTCATTTCGTTCCGTGTGCTTTATTTCCGTTTGAATTGCCATAAATTCAGTCGTTGTTGAACATTTAAAAACCATAATTATATCCTTACTATTATTATTATTATTTTAACGAACCAAACTTTGAACAAAGTGATTAAAACAAATATATGTAAAACAAGTCTTTTAAAAGTGTAATAAAATAATAATGATAATGATCAGTTCTTGATTTTTTTTTAAAACTCCATCTTGCTTTGTCTTCTGCAGGATCCGAGCTGAAAAATTAAAACGTTCTGTTATGAAATAAGTATAACACTGAAAAGCTTGAACTAAGACTAAAACTAATTTCTCTATTCTTTCTAATCTTTACTTATTATATCTCGTATTTATTTATTAAAAATATATATTCAAACAAACAAGCTTAACACATTTTTTTTTTAATTTATAAAGTAAAACTCCTTCAAATTGGGTGGGTGGGAGGGAATTATATATATTCTCTGCCATCTTCACGTAATGCGAAAGAGCCTTCGAATGACCTAACTCTAAAATCTACTTTTCTTCATCACCTTCTATTTGATAACACTACTCAAGTGACCAGTCACATGATATTAACACTACTCAGACCTTACTGAACAGTTCGCACATAAACGTCACGTGTCTGCGTACCCACAACAAATTTATTTATGTTTTGCAAACTGTGTATTTGTGTTAATGTTTCTGACAAAATATATCCCATTGACTTGGATGCTCATTCAGTACAATTTTAGTTTTAATTCTTCCCGATGCAAAATGCACATGAAACCTTTTTAGCTCTTGCAAAAGATTGAACCAAAATGTTTTAAAACTCCGCTGTATAAATATCATAATCCCTCAGTACTGTCGGCAGCGACTCTAGGATATAAAAATCTGCTTTCCCCCCGCTTCTTTATGTTACTTTTTTTCTTTCAAAAACTTGCACATTTTATCAAAGCACCGTTTTCCTTAGAATAGTCTTAAGCGGTATCAGGACAATTCTCCCCGAATAATTCCTCCCCCCCCCCCCCCCCGGACGATATCCCCCGAAGAATATATATGTATATACAAATATAAAAAGATATTGCCGTTTATCAGTGCTGAGGTTATTGGTCGTGTCGATG